ACAACAAATATTACCACAGCTCAACCATTAGTACATTCATATAACGATACTACGACAACTTCTGTAATCATGACCATTGAAAATCCATACACATCCGTACTGTATAAGCAATAGTCTTCCTGTAATATCCATAAACTCGACGGAATAGTGTTCTCCAAATAATGACACTCGTGGAATATTAGTACTTCACACCCAAGTACGGTTCATATCATAGTACTTCTGGAACCATAGTACAATGGAAATAATGGTGTTGCCGACATTTGTTAGGGGTTGTACAATCCCATACTTCATATAATTGGACCACTAAACTTAAATCCAGATCCTTCACATAATGACACTTCGAAGACAGGCCTGGTCCTCTAGGGACACCATTCGGTACATAACCGTAATATTGTTCAAATGACGCAGCATTGGACAGGACCATGTTGTACACACCATAGTAGGCTTCAGATAAAACTATTACGGAAACGCTCGTACCCTCTATGGTGTAACCCTCTGCATATGATAAGACATTATGCCATATATCTTATCGACTTTAACATACATTACTTCACAGTACGGTCGTAACTTTGTCACTCTTCTAATAGTAACGTACCAGGCATCTTAACACTATACAGATGTGAGTACGGCAAATACCTATGTATTCTTCACAGAATGATCCTTCCAGTCATCAATACTGCTATACAACTGTGCACTTCAAATGAAGGTATTATCCAGACAACAGTATTGTTAACATAACGGTATTACCTGTACACGCATACTTTCCAACAAAGAGTACCACAGATATATAGTCGTACTAAGGAAGGCACATAGTGGCAGATAGAATGGTAGCCGTAGTACAATATCACTCCTGGAAGATCAATAGTCAGGCCAACAAACTGCTGTTAACATCATCATACTCCCAGAGTAGCAATCCTCTTTATGTAATAGTATTATTGATGACTTCTACGATTTGCCCAATCCTGCACGTCATGTAATGAAGTCATTACACTTACATCAAAACACTTGACATCCTCATAAATCCAAGGATAAGGTTATTTCTCGTGATACACGGTTTCCCACATAACAGTAGTTTCCTTCAATTAACCCTCCACTCGACACATTAACACACTGGGAGGAAAAGTATCCTTTACATAAGAATATTATGCCAGATTGTGCACTCTTCATACAATAGCTCTCCGCACATGGTAGAAGGTTATGCCACATATATCCTATCACCCAAATACATCAATTAATACTGCTGTGTCGACTTCTCCACCATCCAGATAGCGGTGTACCAAGCACATCCGCTATCTCCACATATCAGTACTATACATGCATGTGTACTCTCTTCATATTGGCATTGCGAATCATGAATAATCCGTAGAAGACTCCGCTATTTATATAGAAGTATTATCCACACAACAATACTTTGAACATAACCGTACTGCTCGTACACACATACTTTTCCATAAGATACTACTCTGAATATAATGATATTTATTATGCCATAACTCACAACACATAATGGTACACCTTAGTATGATTGCACTGGAGGTCATGCAGATAACTGAGCTACATGGGCGTTCTTATAACAAGGCCATGGGAATCTCGGGATTCTGGACTATTGAGAATCCAGACACCTTAGTACGGTTTAAGTAAGAATTCTAGAATATTCATGCACTTCACATAACCCTACTACACGTTCCTCCAGGCGCAGCAGGGGCGTTACAAACAAACATCGGTATCCTGCAAAGAAGAGTACCCCCGGCAGGATTTTCCCCTGGTGTAAGGAAACCATAAGCATGTCAGTACTTTGCACATATGAGTAGTACGGACACCTCAATAGGCTTCCTACAATAACACTCCTGGAAAATCCTTACCCTTGAAGCAACTGTGCTCTTCAATTAACAGTATTATACAGGTAACACTGGTATTCACCTAATAGTACTCCATGAACATCATCACTTATAAAGCAATAATACACCAGGGATAAAGGCGCCCCTTCACACATCGGTATATTATTACTGTTTGCTAATGCTACCACATCCCGTATGGTTATGCTATTTACACATCACATATGTGGCCATCCTGATCATAGCCGAAGGAAAGAAATATCCTCATAATGGCTCCACATAGGAAAAAAAATAGGTCGATCAGAATGTTAGAAAAGGGGATATTCGAATAAAAAGAAATGACATACAATACAACATATCAAGAAGGATGCACTCAGAATGGCACCTTCACAATGATGTGACCTCAAGAAACATCTTCACAATAATCGAGGCAAGAGAACATCTTCAAAAGGACGAAACAAGAAAACATCCTGAACATACCAGGAGAAGAAAGCATCTTGATAGAGAAAATCACACACCAAAGGACATCTTCAGAATGCCGCGAAGAAGGTATATGATCGTAAAAAAAATAACACACAGAAAAATATCTTCACGATGCCGCGAGAAAAGTACATCAGCGTAGGAGAAAATGACATAAGGGAAAACATCTTCATGAAGCCACGGGAGGAGGAAGCATTCATATAAAACAGATGACACAAAAAAATATATTCAAAATACCACAGGAAAGAAGCATCATCCGAATGTCGCGGAAAACTTGTATCCTCATAAGAGAAATGCCTCGCAAAAAAATCCCTTCGCGGCCACATCCTAAATAAAAAAAGCATATTTATAAAGAAGTCAAGCAGAAAAATATCATCGATATACCGCGGTAAGAGGAATCTTCGTTAAAGATATGCCACACAAAGGAAAATTCTCATAATTGACATGGCAGGAGAAACCTCATCAAGGCATCCGAAGAGAAAGCTATCGTGAGAAAAAAAATGAGACACAAACAAGAATCTTCATAGTGACAAGGCGAGAGAAACCATCTCTATAAGAATGACGAGCAAAAGAATATATTAAAAGTACTACGGGGTAAAATGAATCTTGGGAAAGAACATACCCCACAGAGAAGATACACCTCACCATGACCAACCCTAAGGGAAGAGAAATTCATAAGAATGGAACAGGAAATATCATCCTGAAAAAGAGGCTACACACAAGAACGTCTTCATATTGACGCAACAAGAAGGATGTAGCTATGCAAGAATGTGAAACAAAGGAGCATTATTATAACGACATGCGAGATATAAGCATCCTTAAAGGAATGCCAAAAAGAGAAGAAGCATCACAGTGCCGCGGAAGGACGCTACACATCACATTGTGACGTGAAACAACAGCAGCGCAATCACCCGGAGGGAGGGCATCATAAGAATGCAACAAAAAGAGACATCTTCATGAGAGCATTACACAAGAGAAATCGTCATAAGAATGCAGGAGATAGACACATCTTCATAAAGATGCTCCGAAAAATGCCATCATAAACAAACCCTTCAGGAAAATTCCGTCAAAGGAAGGGGACAAATAGGTGTATCCTTATGAAAAAATTAAATAATGAAATATATATAATGAAGCTAAAAGAAACAGCACGCGTGCAGCGGATATATAATACATGAAATCACCCCCCCGAAAATTGATCCACATAAGAGGACTTTGGCAAATTGAACCCACATGAAGCCACTTCCGGGAAGATCGAGCCACATGGACGTGCGTCCTGGAAAATTAGGCCAAATTAAATGACGTTCGCGAAATTACCCCACGTAAAACTACATTCGCAGAATTACGACACATGAAGGGGCGTCCGCAGGAATTAGGCCACATGAAACTACGTCCGCGAAAATTAGGCCACATGAAATAACGTCCGCGAAAATTATCCCACGTGAAACCACGTTCGCAAAATTCGCCCAGATGAACACGCATATATAAGAAAGGAGCCCCATGAAAAAACACTCTCATAAAAATGCTGAAACATGAGAAAAAAAACGTAGGAATAATGCAACATGCGGGGGGATACTGGTGAAGATATCGAAACATCAAGGAGCACACTCACAAAAACAATGGGGCATGAAAACGCATTCACAAAAATAACCTAACTATAAAAGAAGCCATATAAGCACGACGGTCCAACATTCCACGCTGTGCACATTGGATCTGCATATCTCTATTGTATTCAACTCATACGAGTTTCCACAGAGAGGCATGAACACATTTGGACGCTATAGGGGCCCTTCCAATCGTATGCAACATACAATTAAAGTTCAATATGAAATTAGAAGCCATATTATACCACTTCAAATTCAACAATCCATTATTCCCCTTATATATGCATAGATGAAACCCCTCATGAACAATTGTGTAATTTAGAGGGGCACATTTTTATGCCAAATGAACATTCTTCTAATTTGAATCAGCATAGACTGGTAACTACGTTTTCCCTGTGCTTAAAGATGTTTAACCATCCGTACCATTCTTTTCCGTTCTGGTTGTGTTTTTGGGGAGGCCTTTCGTGTATGACGCCAGAGGGGCATCATAACTTACCAGGTTAACACTCCTTATTTTTATGACTCATGAATTAATCCCACATATAGAAGGGAAAAAATATACATATATGTATGTATATCAATGGGTATATGTTCCATGGTCAGGTGTAAAGAGGTCAACAAGACATAGCCTGTTATCAATAGATGGTATCAATGTATAGAGGCATGTATATTATGTGTATTTCTTCAGGGAAGAGGGCTGTTATTCTTCTTAAAACTGATGTATTCTCAGCTCCGACTCACAAGATAATTTGGCGGAACCTTTCGAAATGAAGTATGCTGTATGTTTCTTCCTTAGTTTATTATATTTCATGATATGCAGAATGGAGAAGTCGGTTATACTCACACATATTCGTTATTTTCAGTTCTTCTTCATGATTCTATACTTTAATTTTCTCTTAAGCTCTATGATCTATTCCTTGTAATATATTATAACCACCCCCACGACTCCTTCACTATGTTCGCTCCCTGTGTTATTATATGTATCGGGGGGTAATCACAATAAATTCATGCATGATGATTTTCGTCATTCCCTATCCATTCTGGTTTGCTCCTGATTAACATCCTTTGATTGCGCTCTATGCTCCGTTGCTTTACATACGGATGTAATACTGGTATTTTTCTGTTTTTCTCCTTGTTAAATTTTGCCCATAATAAATAATCCTCTCAACCGAATTAATCGAACCGCGTTAGCACATTTGTAGTAGTCAGCGGCTCCCGTAACGGGACAAGAGAAACTCTTAAATATAATTATTGCAATATCTTGTCCTCCGCACATTTTATGGTACAGCGAAGAATGCTTAATTCTTACTATTCACCCGCATACTTCTTCCCATTTAGCCAATCTCTTTATTCAAAATGGATTTCTTCCTTATTTAATATTAAACTGATGTAGTGACACATTTAACAGTTCCATTAACACTATGATGAGGTGCTCTGTGGATCTTACAACCCAAGATCCGGAAGCGTATATCCTTTAAGAGAATATCAGATTCACATGAATGAGCGCCGTGTTATCAGAATAGATAACTATAAACTTCTTGAGTTAACTATTAATTGAATAATTAGCAGAAATGTCTTTCACAGTTTGTGTCTAACTGGAGCCAATTATGTATTTTCAAAAAACATTGCCTATTACGTGGGCTTCCACCCCGCCAGGATAGTTCCACGCTGCAAGGAATACACATCAATCAACGACGTGTCCAGTATTGCAAAATCTATCAAAAAAAAAGAAAAAAAAAAGTGTCCCAAAAAAGATTGTAGATATACCTACGAAACCACTAGATAAATGCAGAAAGGAAGAGTCGAAACTGACCACGAAACATTTCCTCGAAATAATCGTGCGCACATTTATGAAAGATCAAAGTGTATCATGTGAAATTACCTTACGGAACAACTTAATCGGGACAGATGCACAGAACTGCAGTGATCTGTATATACAAAAACATCTGTGGCATATTCCGGAAGATAGACACGAGTACATCTTTGATATCTTCAAAGAGAAAAATTAGTTCCATAATTTATAGCACGAACGCAAAAGGGAACAACCATGTCCCCAAGAAAATGTGCTGTCCGAAAGCGACCAATTAAACGGGAAACCACATACTCCCTTCATACAAAGGCAAAAAAATGTATGCGTGAATTGGGTTTCAAAACAACACGTACCTATGGAACAGTGTGGAAATTCGTATCGCCTGCGTATTGCATTCCATATTTTATATTCATTTCATTCTGATTCTAGGTAATTTGGTACTGTTTTAGCCATCCCTTTCTTGGCATTGAATAAATTATTATGCATGTACACATATATAAACGTTTTTACCCCTCTTGTTAGTATGAGAAACAATTTTACTTGTGTGCTAAAAAAATATACATACACTTTTTCATTATTCATTGAAAGGCCTCTTTTTGTGACGTGACGCGCCGAATTAAAAAAATAAACTAACTTGCATCTATAGTTAATTCTACTAGTTACAATGAAATGCATATATTTTCCTTATGCTGAAGGGTAAATTAACGCGCCTATGAAATATGGACAACATGTGATTAGAGAAAGAAACAATAATCATAATCCGCTTGAAATTGCATTGATATTTTACCCCAATGAAGCAGTTATTAAATGTTTGTCATACGGGCTCTTTGCCTTGAAAATGGCTCCAACTACATAGATAATTACATTGACTATGAGAAAAATAGGTGTTCATCTTTTTTTGGGAAATTAAAAAGCATTTAAAAGGACGAACACTCAAGATGCGATGCATTCTCCCCAAAATTAAAACTTCATTGCTTCTTTATTCCAAAAGATCATGCATATGGCCTTATTTATGTTGTCTACTTCCATTTTCGTGTTCCCTAAGAGTTCATTTATATGAAATGTTATTTTGCCTCAACCCATTTAAAGGACAAAAAATTATTGTAGGTATTATTATTTGAGAGAAAATTCCTTCTGTTCCGGTTTACTCCTTTTAAAGGTTTCATACTTAACACACGATGGGAAGCATTGAAAACACGCTCGACATGTTGTACCATCGATTACTAAGTTCAGAAGGTAATGCGTCTGCAGAATGAGCTTTTATCCTATCACTTATTTATGCATACAAACTGATTTTATGTCCATTAAATTGCATTGCTGAGGACCACAAATCAACGTAAGCACGTACAGTTTACAAGAAAGTTTTCAGTTAGCGTGAAATTTAAATAAAAATGGAGGTTCTACCGAATGCCTTCCAAACGAGCGTTACAAAATAAGCAGGAATAAACCTTAAAACCTAATCATTGTAACGGTACTATCTCTTTTACTCAATAAAAATGGAACAGTTTTCACGATTTAGAAAGAATGAACACGCTTCATTAGCGAATTTTAATAAATGAACTTGTTTTATAAATTTTTATTTCATAAATATATGATGGCTTAACATTTAAGAATACCTGTTTTGTGTAGAAACGTTTGCAAAGTCCACTGTTAATTATAATAACATTTTTTAGCATTTTCATTCCGTTTAATATGATGAAAAGAGTATGCTTGTCTTTTAAAGAGTTTTTA